CCATTTTTGTCTGCCACTGTCCTTAGGAATAAAAAGTTGTGAAATTTTGTGAATAAAAACTTTTTTACAATTGAACCAAATACATACTAAAGTTTAAAAGAATGTTAATTTCATAACTATTGGCATATATAATGGACATTCAAGAAAATGAAGTCAAAATGTAAAATCATGAATCGGAACATTTTAAGCAAAGGTGTGAAAAATGCTGGTTTGGGAAGTTTAGATCTCTGTTTCTGTTTATTTATTTTTATCATTTAAAATTTTTTTTTAAATCTAGTATTGTTCCTAAAAGTAATTTATGTGCCTCTACCTCCTAACTTGGACATTAGTTCTACTAATTTTGAGAAATAGTCTTATTGGTAATATTTACAGTTTAGTTTTTAATAGTTCATGGAAAAACACATGGTTACGTAAAGTTATCTCAGAATTTATGAACTGTGAAGCTTCCTAAACACAAACAGCAGATCATTGAAAAATTTAATTTGTTATAAATGGCAGTTTTGTTTATTAAGCGTAACAACTCATATGAGTCAATCTTCCAATGCTATTTAAGAGATTAGGAAAGAAAAACCGAGATACCACAAAGGATTTACCCCAATCTACATTTGGCTCAGATGAGCAGTGCAAATGAGGGTTAACCTGCCCATGGTACAGGTACTGAGCAGCTTAGAAGAAATTGTCTCACCTAGGTTATCTTACTACAAGTAAATACAAACTGCAATGTATAAAAAAGATGGAAATGTGCCACATATCCCAAAGGAACTCCTCATTATTTCACTAACATATCTGAATTTCTTTGTGCATACCTCTTTTTAGGAATAAATTTGTCTTCCACCAGTCTAAGTACCATAATAAGTTGAGAAAGATAACTGAACTAGAACGGGTTAGATTAGATGTAGAGTGCTACCTATTACTTAAAAACATCTTGGTTCTTATCACTGAGAGTGACAATTCGCATAAAACAAATTCCTATTCTTTGTAGAACAAAAAAAACAGACAAACCATTTTATTTCTTATATTGGTTGTCATTGTTAAAATGACCTTAGAGACAGTCACTAAGCCTCATTGTATTTCTTAAAGTCCATTTGGCTCTATCATAAATTGAGATCATGACATTATGAGAATATTTATAGAGTTAATATTTTCCAGCTCTCATCTGGGTCCATCTTTCTTTAGGTTTCCTGCCAGTATATAGAAGAGGCCCATTTAGAATCTGAGTAAACATCCGCAGACTTTTTCAAAAAGCTATACTTTTCCTAAATTCATACTTCTTTTATTAACAGATGTAAATTTGAAGGGGAAATAGCATATACTATAAGTCATTTGGGAATAGTCTGCGTCTTAAGGATGACTTACAATTTTCATTTGAATGGCAGAGACGCTGAAAGCTTCAACTGAAAATCTGTGCTCTAGTTTCAATCATTCTTTCCATGAACTCTGCAGGCATTTTATGACAAACATACACATGTGTATGAAGTATGTGACCTCACTGGTAGTTATCTGAAGTGTCAAGGGCTGTTGGCAAATACCCAAGAATTGATTGACACATATCTTACAGAACTGGAGTTAATTAATACGTCTACCAATTCCCAAATGTATCACAGGAAGCAGAAAATCTGTTTAATACAGCAATCAATGACATTCTGTGTGTGGTCAAAAGACATTCACTATACAGCCAAAGAAGTTTGGAAGAACCCATTCAAGAGAGTATATATTGGTATTAAAATGCTAGAAGAGCCAAAAGGGTCTATTTTCATAACTAAAAGTCTAACTTGAAAGTATTTTGCAAATTGATTTATCATTAGTTAAAAGCAAGTGGCAATTTTCTCCTACAAGATCAAAAGCTATTAAATGATGAATAGAGCTTTGATTTGCTTTAAAATTGATGTCTTTAGTTCTGTGGCATCCTGCCATCCAGAATGTTAAGTCCATAATGTTATTTTCTAACAATGAGGTTTCAGCAATTTTAGGAATTCAATGTAAGACAATGAGTTATTTCAAAGGAAGAACACTGCTTAAAAAAAAAAAAAGGTGAATATGAAAATCTTGACAAAAGTCCTGATAACAGCAAAAAGTAAAATGTTTTCTTTTTTCCCTAAATAAAATTGTTTGCAGTATATAAAGATCGGACCTTTTTCAAAAGAACATCATATTTCGTGTAGTGTGGGGTAGGTACCAGCAAAGCATATATACAATTTCTAAACTAAAATTTATGAAAAAATTTCCATTATCTGTAAGCCCCTTTATACATATAATTGGTATATTCAAACTTCATGAGTTTATGAACTTTAACCTAGCACTCACAGGCTCTGTTCTGATTGTTATTTTATTTCTTACTCTTCCTAACTTTCCATTATTGTAATTCTTTTCCTAACAGTATGAAGCACACATTGTCTCTTTTCTTCAACTTCACAAGCAGCATAATTGGTTAAAGTCAAGGGTAGTATTTTAAGTGCTAGTATAGATCAATTTAAAGCAGATTGTCTCAAAAGGCAGCTTAAGCATTGAAAATTAAATTTGATGTAGTCTAGACAAGCTATCTTGATAATATCTTTTCCAGAATTTCCTACATTGCCTGTCTAGACTGCTTCCAAATTCCCTAGGTAATTGCATAATCATCTTCTTTCTGACATCCTAAACAGTTGGAATAGTATTTCCCAATTTATACTTTTCATGCAAATCAAAATCACTGAGCTTCTGAAAGAGGACTTTTCTCAAAGGCTCTGAGGTTGGTTCTCAGAGAAACACTTGCACCCCAGTCCTCCTCCACTCTCAGAGGAGCTCAGATGGGAAACTTTGTTTGCTTATTACTTCAGTAGAGGAGCTGGTGAGCAAATGGCCTGTACCTCTCTATTCCTCCGCCTTCCCACACATAGGCAACAATGAGTAGTTGATGAGTTGAAGAGGAAATACATTGTTAACTCCATTAAATAGTAACTTCAGAAAGAAAAAAATGGGAAAATGATAAACACATGTGGAAGTTTTTTGTAAATGGCCATCATCGTTTTGTGAGCCTCAAATTTTAAAAAGGGGGGGATTAAGATAAGTACAAAATCATCTCCGGATAAAAGCCCAGTGTAGCATAATTTACAACCTCAGATGGAGTGAAGGACATTTAAGAATCAAGGTGACAATCACTAACAATAAAAACAGCATAGGTTTTAGACTGAGGTGCAGATATACGTTTTTTAATATTAACTGTCTAATAATTCTGTCTACTGATTATTAGACAACATGTAACTCTCACAACAACAGAGGCCAGAGGGCAATGATGAGATTAAAACTTCTGAGTTTCTATAGCAAAAAAAGTAGATGAGTCATGCCCTGCTAGAAGAATTGGAAGGCAGTTAGAGGTGATACACCAACCACTCATTTAACATGTGTGGATACCTAAGACCAAAGGTTTTGCTTTGTTTTTCATGTTATGAGACAGCCTCAGAGAGGTTAAGTAAAATTTTCCAGTGCTTTGCATCTAGAAAGCTGTATAGGAAGATAGGAAGTCTGATGTGAAACAAGCGTCCGTGTCTTTTTCGCTAATCTGTGTTCAGCATTCCTGACTCCACTGCAAATCGTGGAAAGCATGCTTCCTGACAAGTGGACACGTAGAATATAATGTGGAAGGACCTGCCTAGAGCTATCTCCATAATATAGAAACATGGGACAAGTTTTAGGAAATATCTTTCCTAAAACTGATTGTTATAGGAAATATCTTGGAAGGTAGAAAAGAGGGAAAAATTTAATCAGAAGATGTTAAAAAAAAGAAAAAAGTATATAACGTTCCAGGGCCATCTACATGAACTTATTCCTAATTTCATCAACATGAAACAAGCAATGTAAGTAGGACTTCCTTGCCTTAAAATCACTTTTTATTGAAAACTGTTGGATACATCTCAAGGACCGTGTATGAGCTTAGAAGGAGAGAAAGAAAAAAGGATGTAGTGGGGGCTTAGGGAGTAACTGTCTAAATTGGTGAGTCCCTGGAAAGGTATCTTAATCTTCCCAGGCTCGTTGGGAAAAAACCATAATTATGTTTAGCCTGGAAAACACAACAGCCTGTAAGGTGCTTTGTTATTCAAGGAAGATACAACACACACTACATTGATTTCTTATCCTTTGAATCAAAACAACAGATTTGTGTAACTTTAGGACACCTTAAAATTTAGATTCTAGAATTTATACTGAGTGGTTAGCATGTAAATTAGATCTTATCTTTAGAATTCCAGAAATATTCTGTGAACAAATCTTTTATTTGTTGAGTGTTTCTGAATTCCAATTTGGAAGAAAATTCTGTCACAAATGTTCTTCTTAAGAGTTAGTGCCAAAAATTATAAAAATGATTTATACTTGAAGGTAATGAATAAGCCAAATTTACTGGACTACTTTCAACATTAGCAATGTTTCCTTGATTTTAATTCTTATTTAAATTTATCTATGATTTCCTTACTAAATTTTCACACTACAACATTTTTAACAGTAGCAGACAAATTAAATATTTTTCTTTGTTTTCTATGTCAAAATAATAACTACAAAGTAAATAAGTAAAAGCAAAGCTTAGCTAAGCAAGAACACAAATGTTAATAACTTGGGCCAAAAGTGAGATCAGATCACTATGCAAATACATGGCGTCCTTTCTTAATCCCTACGCAAGAGAAAACAACTGGGTGGCAGGCACTTCTGGCTGGGAATGGAAATGGAGGGACAAGCTGGCAATACAGAAATGAAGGAGAAAACAGAACAGGTTCAGCCTGCTGACATCTGCTGCACATTCAAAATGGGTTGGACTCTAATCCTGGGTGAAAACAAATGTTTTCTTCCTTCTTTCCTCCTGTTCCCTTGTTATTGTTGAATGATGGTCTTATTCTTTTTGTAGTCACAGATTAAAATTAACAACAGCATCTGAATTTGAAGTAGATTCCACTCAATAATGAACCAGAAGCTAAATGAACTAAAGAAATTAGTAGTGAAGCATTTTGAACAGCATTTTTAAAAGTCAGCTTTACCTCAGGATGATGTCCAATTTCAATGTAGGTGCAAATTGGATGAAAAGCCCCAGTTCCACAGGCATACAGGTGAGTTTGATTGTAAGCCTTCAGGACCTTGATGAAATTAGCACATTCTTTCTGCAAGACAAAAGACAAACCAGTGAGTTCTAGCAGTAAGCATGACTCAGGGATGTCTAGGGTAGGGCATGCTGGGACAGATTTCTTTTGCATCCCTTTTTCAACTCCTTTGGGGCTTCTTTTCTATTGTATTGTTTTGTGCCTATTATTACATGCATTCAAAATACATAATTTCCTGCTCTTGAAGAGGACAAATATGGCCATCCACCATTCTTTCACTAAAACTATTTCTATTGTATTTGTACAACAGTACGATAAAAGTTCCAGATAACCAATGATCCACAGATGACTTTTCCAGACATGAGAGCAGTGAATAATTTAAATAATAAGTTACCTAAGCAAGACATTGGCGAATGTTTCCTTACAAAAATTAGTTTTGAGTTTACTTTTAGGAAAGGAAATAAAAATAAAAGATAACAGTAAGTTCAGACAAAACTACTAACCCATTTTGAAAATTTCTAAATGAAGATTCATATTCTACATAAATAAAAAGTGCACTGAAAGTTTTCTTTTTATTAGTCTTAGACTTCCTTAATGGTTTTTTTGTCTATAAATATTTGAAATTAAGAACCAAATATGTAGTTGCAGACAAAGATCCAAAGCAGACTATGGGATACTCGATGCTGTCAGATGTTAGGGGATTGGAGTATTTCTGAGTGTACTGCGCTCCCAAAGTGTTCTCCATGACCTGTGACTTTTCAGGTGTAAACTCAGACTGCATTTGGACTTATGTAGTCAGTAGGAGTTTATAACTGAAGTGTTATAATAATTTGAGCACATTTCCACCTGACATTTACATTCTGTATTTGTAGCTGATGATTTTTGATCTAAATTCCAGTGGCCCATAAAATAAGAAGCAGACAACCAAACTTTAGCAGAACAATTGACATTTAAATTGAAGGAATTGCTGTTCATCATAATTGATCTTTCCAAGATGAAACTTGATGATAATCTTTGAATATATTGTTCTAAAGATGAATTAGTCCTTACTTAAAAGTAAAATACAAAAGTTTCAAGTTATGATACCACCTGCTTTCTTAGTATATGATGAGTAGTTTGGGGGAAAATAAACATCATTTTTTCTACTGTTTGTTAAGTAGATCTTGATTCTTTCCTTTGTCTGGTAAGAATTATGACATACAAAATTATGCTCTGAAATCAGCTAACTTTGAAAGTTGTTTTGTAAGAGGAAAAATTTTCTTGCTTAAAGGGTATATATATCAGCTTTATTCATTTTGTTTGAACAGGTTACTTCCTAGGTAAAACTGGAAAGCACATAAAACTTTACTTCCACTACTGTCAGCAACAAACTCTTCATTCTGTAACAGTTTCTCCTCCTTCCCCTGGAGGACAGGGCATGAATGTTTGGGCAGAGGGAGGAGCTTGAGGACAGAAAGGAAACATCTGATAAACTCATTTATAAATGAGGCATTCATAAGTCTTAACCAAAGGATATATTTGTACTCTTTACAAAATTCAGTCATGTTCAAAGAAGCCATTTTCAGGAAAATTTCACTTTGAAACATGTAGGTGGCCTCATATTCTGCTTTTGTATAAAGGCAAGCCTACTTCACATAAGCTCAATATTAAAGTAGTTAAGATGATAAAAAAATGAGTTTCAGTACCATGTGTCAAAACCAAGATTTGGCTATGTGTAAGCAAATGGATATTCTAATATATACTAGTAGCAGACCCAGAAGGATATCTTGTTCATTTTAACAAAGAACAGGACTTTGGTTTGACTGCCACGTCTGTAAAGATATGCATGTAATTTTGTGCACAAGTCCAAATTATATAGTTTTATCAATAGCACTTGAGTATCTTCTAGAAGTTTAAGAATAGACCTCAGTTTGCTAAAATAAAAAAATGAAAAAGATTATGAATATGAATACTCATATAAACCCAAAGGAAGGTTCATGCCACTTCTGCAACTGGTATGAATTGTAATGCCAGAGATTTTACGAGCGCTGTATGTCTTATGGATTACAAAGCTAATTAACAATTTATCAGGGACTAGGTTTGTCTTTCCAAGGAAACTAAGAGATTATAATTAATGCAAGAAAAACTCTCCAAGCTCTTGAGAGCTACGAAATTGGACCACACTGAATATCAAAATTCCAATTTGTTCTCTATTAACTGTTATAAAAGAACCACTATACTATGACAACTACTCTTCAACAGAGCTGTTGGAATGAAATCAATCGGAAGACTATAGCTGTGAAACCTGGCAAAGGGTTCTACTGAGAATGCTGATAACAAGGGAGTCTATCTGTGTTACAAAGCAACTAGACCCACCCTATTGGCCTAAGGCCTGGAATAATCTTTCATTTCCCCAGGAACTCTCCCAGTTGGCAGCAAGTTGTATTGTTGCCATGCCCAGGGGCTACCTCAATATTATTTTGAAAGTGAAGGTTGATGAAAATAGAATGGGGAGCAATTTCTTGGGCTTACAGGGTAAAAAGATGGCTGAAAGAAAAACAAAGGAATGGAAGGAAATACTTTCAAAATTGGTTAAAAATAACCCAGAGAAGAACCATCAACACAATGGAGAAGGAAAATGAATTGAATGAACTGGACAGAGAAGAACCAAAAACCTGAAAGCGGAATGTTAGTAAGGATTTGTTCTTAACAGAGAGCCTACACAAAAGAGTATCAATTCTTTCATTCATTTGCCTTCATTCTCTCATTTGCTGCAGCCAAGGTTTTTGAGTGTTCCAAAACAAGATATTCATTTTATTTGGAAGCAGCTTGGACATTCCTCTAAAAAAGAAGGAAGTGTGGCAGCGAAAGGAAACACACTTCACACATTTCATCTCAGGGGAGACAGAAGAAGAGTGTTTCTGACCTTTTCTTGAACCATGACGTTTCTTAAAATTCAGATTGTAATGTACTTTTTGGCATTCAGTGACCACACTGCTTTGCTCAGCACTGGCGGATTTACAACGTAATAAAGACAGTGTAGTCCGTTCAAAATGAATTCATTTTTCAAACCTTGATCCTTTTTGGAATTTAAGTTGATGCACACAGACAAATTTAGCAACAAGTTTTCTTCCCAAGAGTCAGGCAATCATATTGACCTCTTATTTTACTGAAATTTACTCCAGATCCATAGCATTATAAAAATTGTAAGTTTAGAAGAAGAAGTAACAGCAGTTATAATCCTATAAAACCCAAGGTCACACCTGAGGAGCAGTGATTCATCATCCTTTGTGGCAAAACATTTACACTTAATTTTTAAGTATTTCTAGCCTTTTTAAATAAAATGGGTGCAGGAGTTATGCATAAAAATATTAGACTGAAAAATAAAGTATTTATTCTCAGAAAAGATATAGGAGCCAACTGCACAGTGATTCAAAAGCAAACATTGGAGATATCTAGCACTGATTAGACTGTGTTACACAGACTTTTCCTGGACGGTTACAAAAATAAAGTCCATCCATCTGTCAAAACAACTGCTCCATGCATGAAAATTAAGACAGAATTGAGGTGTTTTTTAACTAACTTCCAATCATTATGCTTTCTACAAAAGGATGTAATTTACCTACAATTCCAATTACTTCCTCTCATATTCTTAACTTATAGATGGAAGAGTAAAAATTTACTCTTTAGTAAGGACAGAGAACAAAAGAGAGAAGACTGTGAACATGCTTAATCTCTATTCAAATATATTCAATTCATGATTAAATCAAACAAGTTGTACTGATTCAAATATAAATCAGCCCCAAATGAATAGGTAGAGAACAGTATTGCCTCAGGTCAGTGAGAATTCATTTTAAAAGAGAAAAAAAAATTCTATCTCTTCAGACATTTAAATAGAAATATTTTATTGTCTAATCTAGCAGCTGGGAAAGCAAAGGAAACATTTTCTATCATGATGGGTGGATTCATTTCTGCATGAAAATCCATTAATAAGCTTAATTCCTGAAGTTAATCTGTTGACTTTCTTTTTCTCTGGTCAATTTATCTGGCAAGCTAGCTGAATGCTTGAATCTTCGTGCCAAAGCAGTAATCCATGAGATTGTTCCTGTCAGTCAGGAACAATCCCTGACTCTATTTAAATTGTTCCACACTTCCCTCACAAGATTGTTTTCTTTTTACAGTATGCTGTTACAGCTGTGATTTGATCATCCATAATCATGTCTTCCTAATACTTCATCATTCACTGAAAGATCTTGGAAATCTCTTCTTCAAAGAAGAGTACCTAATAAAACTAACACATAGCCATGTTCTAATTATCCGATTACTTTGCTAATGTGGAAGTTTTGACTTGGAATTTTTGTTGTAGTTTTGAGACAAGGTTTTTCTCTTTAGCACAGGCTGGCCTCAAATTTGAGATCCTCCCGCCTCAGCCTCTCAAGTGCTGGGATTATATATGTGGCCCACCACATCTTTTTTACATCTCCTTTTTAAAATGGTGAATAAGGTGTTTTGTCAATTTTGGAGGACATATTTACCTTTACTTTTAGAAAGATGATGGTATATTAAAACCAATTGACCAAGCTTAGTTTTTGTTTTTTAGAGATTTAAAAAATACTGATCCAAATAAAGCTAATATTACTTCATAGCTAGTTATTTAATATCTAAGCATATTCATGATGACTTAATTATGTCACTATTAAATCCACGGTAATCGAAAAATAAATGTTAAAATGTCCTGAATAACGTGATAAACTAAAATAAGAACTCTTTGTATGACTTCAACACTATTTTACTTAAATACTCATATCAACTAAGTGCTCAATTTGACTATTTCCCCTTGTGGAATAACTATTTATTTTGAAGTTCTTGAAATATTGTTTAAGTTTTTATAAACACTTTTTTCTTTCAAATGACATGAAACTTTCAAAATCGATCAAAAGATTATACACCTTGGAATTATAGACCAGGATATTAGCAAAAGCTGACCAACTCCATTCTCTTCTACCACATAAAGAAGCTCTGACCAGTTTCACTTTGAAATTCCATCTAAACCTGAGTAGCTGGTAATGTATTTCATTAAG